ATTTTGAATGGTTTGTCGAGGTGGAAAGCATCCCCTAATAAACTTATTATCTTGTTTTGTCTATCCCATTCTAAACTGCTCCTTACTCCACACCCTGGGAAGTTAGTCCTTCTTCTGTTTGCACTCACTTGGGTAGCCACTCAAGTTAGAACCTTGGAAAAGGAAAGTGACAGTCATTCACTCATGTCCAACTCTTTGCAGACCCCATGGACTGTAGCCCTCTAGGCTCCTCTGTCCATTAGATTCTCCAGGCAAGAATACTGGAGTGGGTTGCCTTCTTCAGGGGATCTTCCCAACCCAGGGATGGAACCCGGGTTTCCTGCCTTACAGGCAGATTCTTTATCATCTGGGCCACCAACCTTGGATGTCTTAAAATGGCTCACATTTAATCACCCATTGCTTTTGTGTTTTGACCACCTTTCACATTCACCTCTTCTCCTTCTTCAGAGCAATTTCAAGATCTGCCCCCAACGTCTCTTTTTTTGACTCTTAGAGCAGCTTTCACAACCCCAGTCCCTCTCTCCTTCAACTGTTTTCTCAAACTCCTGCCAGAATCATCCATCTAGAAAAATATTTGGCCATTTGGTCCTTTCAGTTCTCCCTGGGACCTATGGTATTGACAGTAAGCAACTTAAGTTCTTTGGGAACTAGGCTCTGCCGACGTCTTCTCTCCCCACCTCCCAAACTTTAAACTTTTTATTCTGTATTTGAGTATAGCCGATTTACAAAGTTGTGATAGTTACAGGCGAACAGCGAACGGACTCAGTCATACATATACAGCCCTTCTCCCCCAAGCCCCTCCTCCCATCCAGGCTGGCACATAACATTGAGTAGAGTTTCGTGTGCTATACAGGAGGTCCTTTTTGTTTATTCATTTTGAATATACCTGTCCACATCTTGACATTTCCACCTTGATAACCACCCAGCCATTCTGTAGACACATATTCATTAGCCTGGAAGTACCCTCCCTCCTCCTCCATCTGGGTGTTCCTCGACTTTACAGCTGAGGCATCACAGACTTTAAACCAAATTGCCTCTCCCTGCTCCACCCCTCACCCCCAGATATGGTCCCACGGCTCCTTGTGTTACTGCCCCAGACCATGTGTCACTCCAGACGATAACAACATAGTGGTTGCTAATGAAGGCTCTTAAAGTTAGATTTCTTAGATTCTAATCTTGCCATGTTGCTTGGTGGTGGTAGCAGTGGCGGTTTATTCGCTAAGTCAAGTGTGACTCTTGTGACTCCACGGACTGAACCCTGCCAGGCTCTGCTGTGCATGGAATTTTCCAGGCAAGAATACTGGAATGGGTTGCCATTTCCAACTATGTAAACTTAACCTCTCTGAGCTTCACTTTGCTCATCTGTGAACTATAGATAATAATACTTCTAGTGAGGATTAAATAAAATAGTTCACATAAGGTACTGAGAACAGCACCTGACACATAAGTGAGCTTCTACTATTTAAGTGGTAGCTATTAATTATCATCTAACTTGTATTTCTTGTCTCACTCTCCCATCAGACTTACTGGCTGGATTAAGATGGCATTTGTCTTTCTACCTCTGGTAGTTGGCAGAGACAACCATTTAATAGTCCTTTGAAAAGTTTTAGCTGAATTACTGGTGGAAAGGTGGATGAGTGGATGATGGATGGATTGTTGGATGAATGAATAGATGAGTACATGGATGAATAGATGAGTGTGTAGAGTTATGATCTAAATGGATAAGTAGATGTACAGATTTTTAAGTAGGTGGATAGATGGGTGGAAGGATGGGTGGATGGAGGCAGATGGATGGGTGAATGGATGGATGGATGGATGGATGGATGGATGGAAGAATGAATGGCTGGGTTTAAGAAATGGATGGACAGGTAGATGGTTAAGTGGATGGTTAAGTAGACAACTTAGTCTTGTTTAAATAGTATGAAACAAAAGGAAGCTATGCCTCAAGTCATTCCTGTCAGCCAGCTGAAAAGACTCTGCAGTATGTGATTTATAAAGTTTGGGGTTTTTTTCTAAGCACAGCTGTCTTCCTGCTCAGAATCTTTGGTCTCAGGCAATCTGTTACTTGCAATATCACTGTATCCTTGTAAATTTAGACCTTCAGTAAATCTTCTTCAAGCCTGAGAGAAAGGACACATGTATACTGTGTTTTGATCACAGAGTAAAGAACTATAATCCTTGCCCTGGAAGACCCTGCAATTGAATTTGGAAAACAAATTCAATTAATAGATGTTTGCCAGCTTCTGTCATTCTGGGGTTGCCTTGAAGCTTGGTCAGGGATCGCAGTGGCTTTTGGTGACATCCAGGATAACTCAGCCACTTGGAAGAGGTGAATCAAAGGGTGAGGAAGCATGTTATCATGAGGAGGTGGCCCAGGCAGAGAGGCATCCTGAAGGCTGAGAGCAGAGCGCCAGAGGTCGTGAATGTTGAGACCCAAGAGTGCAGCTTGGAGCTGCTGACAGTGAAAAAATCCTGGCTCAGGATGGAGGCCTTGCAACTAGTTGGTCCCAAAATACACAAAGTATTAGATCAAGTGAGGGGTAACCTCACAGCGTGCAAATGAAAGAACTGAGATCAGAACACTGGCCTCTCCATTCTCAGTCCAGTGTTCTTGACAATATAGAGAACAGAGATGTCTGTGAGTCTTTATCAAATGGAGCCTGAACTCTCTGCCCCTGAGGAATCATATTCCCAGGCTCTGGTCCACACAGCCCCCAGTGAAGAAGAAGAATGCCAACCTGTATTGTATGGGCTTCCCAGGTGGCGCTAGTGGTAAAGAACCCGCCTGCCAGTTCAGGAGACACAAGAGACTTGGGGTCAATCCCTAGGTTGGGAAGATCCCCTGGAGGAGGAAATGGGAACCCACTTTAGTATTCTTACCTGGAGAATCCCATGGACAGAGGATCCTCACGGGCTACTGTCCATGGGGGTCGCAAAGAATCGGAACCGACTTAAGTGACTTAGCACAACACAGCACATGGTTGGTAGAGGGGATTGGATGACTTGTGTGGGCTGCTCTAGATCCCACCCATCGTTGAAAGTTCTTCACCCCTTTCTCCCATCTGGGGCCACTGTTCATTTTGCCAAAGATAGTGAACGGTTTTATGAGTAACCAGATTTGCTGACTGTGGTTTCCCCAGTTCGGCCTCCCAGGGAGGCACAGCGCTTCCCGTCTACCATGGTGTCTTGACATTCAGATGTCACTTTCCTTCTGGACCTATAGAATCTGGCTCTCCTGATAAATGAGAGAAAGCCTAGGGGTGGGCTTACCTTGGGGGCTTTAGCCAGTTCCTACTTAAGAGGGGGAAACTTGGGGCTCCGAGGTCATGTTCCCACCCTGTGGATGTAAAGACAAGATCTTTCTGTGTCAACCAAACTGGATACTAATTGGAATTAACCACAGAACTCGATATGGGAGCAAATTATTCTTGCCTACTTAGATGGGTCTTTGAGGACCTGAATTATTCAGCAAGTTTTCTCAGTCCACAAATGTATTAGTTATTGTCAGTATAATTAAGTCAGTAAAAGGAAAGTGTTCCTATTTATTTTCCTACAAAACAAGAAAAGTTCTAACAAAGGGAATATCACAGACTTACTTGAGTTTTCTTTTTTTTTTAAATTGTTCAGAAGCCAAGAGCTAGAAGAGACATCAGAGAAAGACTGCAGGCAGTGATTTTTCAACCATTCTTTTGGAGAGTGGAATCTGTTTTTTAGTCGTGTGAAATCTTAAGTGACATGCCAGTTTATGAAACAGATTAAAATGGAGAAGCTCTGCCTTTGGTGGCTGGCAGAGGGCCAGCAACCCTACCTGGTCAGTAACCCCACATGCTCCCTCATTACAGTGAGTCTGCAGAATCCTGAGAATGTGTTGTTTGAAAATTCGTGATTTAGTTCAACTCACCTAAGAATCAGATAATAAAAGGAAGGCACAGAGAGTTTATTCAAGTTGTAGTCTGTTCAAACTGAGGTTTGCAATTCTTCTCTCTTAGCACAATGCTCTTTCATGATGAGATTTAAATGCTCTTCCAGTTTTCTACCAGTAAAGTAACAAAGTGCTTCCCAAAATTTAGTGGCTTAAAAAAATAAGCCATGAAATTTAGTGATTTTTCTCATGAATCTGTACTTTGGCTAGGGTTTGAAGGGAATGACTTGTTCCTGTCCTGTGATATCCAGGGTCTTAGTTAGTAGAATCCAGTTTGCTGGGCGGTGGCTGGAAGCCTCTCTCTGTTCATACAGTCTTAGGGCCTCTGCATGTGGTTTCTCCACATGGTCTCTTCTGACCACAGCAAGCTTGGGTTACTTAGCCTTTGTACATGGAGGCTCAGGCCTCCAAGTGAAAGTTCCAAAGACTCAGACAGAGCCACAAAGCTTCTATTTGTCCTATGCTAGAAAGTCCCAGAATGTAACTCCTGCTACATTCTATTAGTCACCTAGGGCCAACCTTAATTCCATGTGGAAGGCACTGCATTTGGACATGAGTGTTGGGAAGTTTGGATCATTGGGCAGCGTCTTGGATGCTGGCTACACAATTTCCTTGCTTTCGGTGTGTTCTTACTGCATAGATTCTGATGTGGTTTAACCTTAACAGAGAAGTCATTATTGTTTTCCTTAGATCTTAGGAGCACTGTCATAAACTAGTTCTAGACGGCCACAGAAATCTGACTTAAGATCAAAGCATCATAATTACCAGGAGACTAGTTTTAGTAACCATAAGAATTTTCAAACCATTAAAATGGCCAAATGCGATCTGGCTTCCTCTGCATGAATAGTGAGTTTCTCCATCATAGGAGAGGTCTCCTTCATTTCTTCTACCACTGCAAGTGTCTGATTCTCAGGGACGCTGACTAGTTGAGAAACTTGCATCTCCTTGAGCTTAGGGAGTAATACTATGTGCATTTCTAAGAACCAAGATTTCTTATAAATCTAATTCTTATTTGTTTGTCTTTTCTTTTCCCCCACTTTTGGACATTTCCTTCATCTGACTGCCCATCAATATATAGAAGAAATGCTTATTCCTACTCCTATTACTTGTAAGTATCGACCTGGGGTGACTTTGCTCTGTGCCCTGGGAGGCAACCTGTAGCATGCATTTCCTGCACCAACCAAGTGTCTGTCTGGTTTCTCATACTCACTTCTGTCTGAGTCATCTGTAGCCTCAACGTTTTGATTTTGCCTCGATGTTTTCCATTTGAAAATGCACTGTCATTGTTCATGTCTGTTCTGTTTCTTCCATCTTGGATTCCCCCCCCCCCTTTTTTTTGGAGCCATGAAAGGCTGTTTCTCCTTTGTCAGTATAATTCTCTAGTTAGAAATCCTCCAATTCCAGCAAGAGGAAAACCCGATCCTCCTATAGGATTTGCACACATAGAACCACTGATCTCAGCAACTTCAAAGCCCATTTATGTCTGCTTGGGAAATGTATAGCCCTAAGGGCTCAAAGATGAGAAAGAAATTCATTGGCTATTTCCACTATTTCAGAAAGTCTACAGGGAATTTATCTAGAACCAGCTTTATCTGGAACCAGCTTCACAGGTGACAGAAACATCCAAGGTCTTTCTTTGGGGCTGGAATTATCGCAGTCTAGTGTTTATCCAGTTACATCATGTTGTCAGTACATTTTGCTGGTAGTTATAGATGGTTGATTGTCTAACATTTTTTTTTCTTATGATTCATTTTCACAACATGAGGGTAAAGGAGAAAAATTCCATAAATAGATCCTTGGTAATGAAGAATTAGAAAGCCACTGAATTAGTCTCACATTTCTAATAGGCATTTTCCATATTTGAAAATTGAGGTCCAGAGAAGTCCGTGAAGTACGTGAAATCAGAGTAGGATTAAGACTCAGAATGCCTCGCTCCTTGTAAAGTGTATCTTCCATCCTTCCATGTCTTGGTCCACCTCTGGCCCACCTCTGGCAAGGCCAGCCTTGTGAGAGAGACCATAACTGTTAGTGATCATCTGCTGAAGCCTTCATAGATGAGGAGGGAGCCAGCCTCCCCATCTCTCTGCTCAGTATTTGGGTCCCTGGTCAATAGGTCCATGCTGTGAGCAGATGAGTTTCTGGGATCACCACCCTGATGTTATACAGGAACCAATGAACCCCAGCCACCAGCACCAAAAGTACCAGACAACCTGCTTCATTTGTTCATTCATTCATGCATTGAACATGCATTGCAATGAGAAACATGCATTGAACATGCACATTATGACCCAGACACTGTGGATGAAGAGATGGCCAGGACTTTGAACCCTGCCCTCATGTACAAACCTATCAGAGAGACTAGCCCAACATTAAATACTTGATAGCTCAGCTGAGAGGTACCTACAGGTACATGTACTGTGGTATGGGGACACTTAGTTGTGTGACTAATGTTTTTAGTGGGCAGGGGATAGTTATCAGTGCTTTTAGAGATAGGTTTATCTAAGGCTGAAGAAATAAGAATTCTGAACAGGGAAAGCAGCATGTGCAAAGACAAAGAAGTGTGAGACAGTGTGGGGTATTGTTGCCGCCGTGGAAAAAGTCAGAAAAAGTCAGAGTTCTGGGTTCAAGTTACATCTCTGTCACTCACCAGTTACATAGCCTTGAGCAAGTTTTCTGAACTTTTTCAGCCTCATTCCTCTTAACTCTAAAATAGGGATAATAGTGCCTAACTTGTAGGGAATGAGGAATTTTGTAACATGCCTTGCAAATAAATTGGCACTCCTGCAGTGTAAGTTTTCTTTTGTTTCCCCTTTCAGAAACCGTAAGGAATCAGGGCTGAAGTGGCAGCCCCTGATGGTGCCTCTGGTCTTCTAGAGATTCTTACAGAATCAATGTGCTACATTAGGTATGGGCATGCAATGCCTTCCGGGCAACCTGCCCCCTCAGTCTGTTAGCCAGTGTACATAGCACTGTCTGGAGGCCCACTTTGTACCATTCTCCATGCTGGGCCCTGTGATGAAATCAAACACGAACGGTATGGAGGTACAGAGGAAGATACACAAGTACTTGTAGTTCAAGTTGCAATGATAAGCAAGGTCTTTGAATCAGTGCAGACTTGGAGTTCTAAGTGACAGATCCTAGGGTGTGACACTCATGCCAGCTCAGGAATGGGGCATAGTTAGATTCAGAGGAGGAGAACTGGCACAGCAGACAGCAAGGTAAGAGGAGAGCCACAGAGAACCGAGTGAAGTCGGCTGCAGAAGGTGGACTTGACGGTAGCAGGTGCTGCAGAGAGGTGCAGGTGGAGGGCTTGGGCCCGGCCCTCAACCAGCAAAGTCACTTGTGCAGGTCCTGGGGTAGCCTTGAGGGAGGAAGCCAGCCTGCCTAGGGCCCGTGAGAAGGATAACTTCTTCTTAACCATTGGGCCCTAAAAGAGAGGAGAAACATGAGACTGGCCACTTGAAGGGCCAGAAGGTGCTGGAATTTATATGTAGAGGAGCCTGTGCAGGATGGAGTGGCTGAAGATGCTGGAGGTGAGGCACCCAGAGAAAAGGAGGGTCTGGAGACAAAGTGTTTGGGGACAGGGAGCCGAGGAGGTTGTGTGTGACAGCTCTTGTGAAACCAAAGGATTGAGGGGTGCATGTAGATGGTAAAGGGTGAACAGAATGGAAATGATGGACCCCCGTGGTCTCCAGATTCAAAATTCCATTCCTCCACATCTTAGGTAGAGACCGTGAATGGGTGCTTTATACCATCTCTGTTCAAATTGTGGGCCACAGACCTGAAGCACTGACATCACACAGGAGCTTGTTAGAAACACAGCACCCAGGACTTCCCTGGCAGTCCAGTGATGGGGATTCCTCACTCCCAAAGAAGGATGCACAGGTTCCATCCCCAGTCAGGGAACGAAGATCCTGCATGGTGCAGCCTAAGACAAACAAACAAAAACCGAAATGCAGCACTAACATTTCCAGCTCAGGTCTTCTGAACTAGACCTTGCATTGTGACAAGATCCCTAGTTCATTCATGTGCACCTTTAAGTTTGAGAAGCACTGACTTACCTAGTCACAGTTGTCTCATCTATAAAATAGGAAATATAATACCCTCCTCGCAGAGGTTATGGAGTCACCCCATCCCTCTAAAAGCCTCGAAATCATCCACTGAAAGAGAAAGCCTCCAACACATTTTGGCTCAACAGTGAAATTCACATTCATTCTACAAGTTTTTGTGGAGTTCCTACTTACATGCCAGGCACTGGTCAATGTTCTGGGATGTAAGAGTTAGCTCAACAAACAAAAATCCCTGCCCACATGAAGAGTTTTAGTGGGGGGAGACAGAGAAAAAACACCATATATAAAAAAAGTAATATAGGTATTATGTGATGACCAAGAGAGGTAAGGTGAAAAATAGATAAACTATAGAAAGAGGATATAAAGTTTGGGTGGGAGAGGAACAGAGAAATGTTTTTTCAAAGTCAAGAGGCCCTCAATGTCTCCCCCGCATTGAAAGGTCCCATACACAGGATCAAGGGTCCATAAACTTTTTCAATAAGGAATCAATAGTAAATATTTTTGGCTTTATGGACTCTCTATTGCATCTACTCAACTCTGATGCTGTAACATGAAAATAACCACACAGTATGTAAATGTATGAGCAGGGGTGTGTTCCAATAAAATTTTATTAGAAGATTCAGAGAATGGGCCAGATTTGTCCTGAGGGCCATAGTCTTCCTATCCCTGCTTTTGAGATAGGGAGAGGATGTGGTTCAAGATTCATCCTGTTTTATGAGCTTCTACGATGTTCACTGGTGGCTCAGACAGTAAAGAATCTGCCTGCAATGCAGGAGACCCAGGTTTGATCCCTGGGTCAAGAAGATCTCCTAGAAAAGGGAATGGCTACCCACTCCAGTATTCTTGCCTGGAGAATTCCATGGACAGGGGAACCTGGTGGGCTACAGTCCATGGGGTTGTGAAGAGTCAGACATGACTGAGCAACTAACACACACACACACACACATAATGCGCTGCACCCTTGCATGGCAGCTGAACCAGCCTAGAAGGAGGCTGGTAGCTATGTTGTTTTTTGGTTGTTTTTTAGCTGGTGTGATATGTGGGGTTCATGTAATGCTCAGGACAAGCCTGTGAGGCTTAATGTGTTGAGTCTATTTAGACATTGAGACTGAGGTTTGAGGACTTGTGTATACACACAGCCAGGATGTGGCAGAGCTTGGGTTTGAATCCAGGAGCCCATACCCCCAAGCCCTGCCCATCCTTCTCATTAGACTTAAGGGCTCCAGCCTGGACCGTGTGCTTAGAGGGCTCTTGGCCAGGCTGCGGGAGGGCCAGGATTTGAGTGCAAGTTTTCCTGCCTGTACATCCTCAGTTCTGTGCAGGGACAACAGTGCCTTGCTCAGGACACGAAGTGGGAGCTGCACCTGGCTGGCAAGGAGGCCCTTGAGGCAATCCTGTCTTTTCTGTCCTGACTTACCATGTGGTTAGAGCTGAGAGCGCTGGGCTGCCAGATCAGTGGTAGTTGAGGGGTTAGAGTAAGAGGTGACCAAAAGGAAGTTAACATCCCAGGTAAACAGAGCTATACATGGAAGGCCCTTTGGGACCTGGGGACAAAAGAGTCTAGAGTGGAGTCCTTCACTGTCTGGTACACATTTTAAAAACAAAAATAATGCAGGTTTTGGTGTCAGACTTAGATCACAATTTAGGTCTGCCTCTTCTGTCCAGTTGTTCAGACCTTGAGCTGTCATGAAACCACTCTGAGCCTCAGTTTCTCATCTGCAAAATGGTAATAGCAACTTGCCAGCATTTTCATGAGGCATAATGAACAAGCGGTATCTGTAGAATGACTGACACAAAGTAGGTACTTTATAAAGAGCGGCTGTTATTCCTCACATCCTGCGCTAACAGAAATGCTTCTCTCAAATTCCTTTTTGCCTTTCGGTTGTAACGCAGCAACCAACAACTTCAGCATCTGCTTTTTAAAACGATATTAAGAGTCAGCGTGTGTTCACGGGTTAATTTACCTGAAGGCACGTGACGGGCACAGTAATTGTTTTGGACAGAGACATTTTAGTGTGGTCGTCATTACAAAGGCACT